TTGAGGTCCTGACAAATGTAGGTCCCCGCACTGTGAGAAGCTGTCGTGGCTTGGCACGTGCCAAGTATGTGCGTGTGTGTTTACACGTAGTGTGCCATGGTACTCCATGTAGGCATTTAGTGGCTTGGACATTTACCCCTTTTGATGGGCCTGGAAACATCGTTACAGGAACTTAAATAAATTAGAAATAGAAGCTAAAAGTAAACAATAAAAAAGCTGCAGCAGTCTTTTCTTTCTCCGTGCTACTATTTTCAACCTCCTGTGAAAATCCGGGTAAGTTGATCACCTCCTTGTAAAAATGTTTCCTTAAAACAGACAAACCTTTGAAATTGGAGCTTCTGAGAAGGGTTTGTTATTGTATGGCGTGTCTGAAGGGTAGATGCTTCCATTATCAGGACAGTCTTCCGTATGGTTTTACTGTTTCTGTGCACTGCTAATGATATATTTTAATATATTTCCTCTTCAGTATTTACCTGTGGGGAAACAGCTCTTTTCTGTTTTCAACAGAATTTTTATGTGTTTCACAGAAAGACTTGTTTATACTTCCAGCGAATGGAAGGTTCTTTAAAAGACTCTCTAATGAACCGTTAAAAGGAAAGCACACGTGAAATGAAATTTGTAAGGTATATTAAAACACCCAGTTCAGTTTCAGTTCCCAGAAGCAGAGGCACCAAATTTTGGTTTCCTTTTTTTTTTTTAGGGTTTTCTTTTGGTTCTTAACCTACCTCGTATTCTGCAACTTGGCAAAAATCCGAGCCCCTTGACTCCTCGTTTAGTGTTTATTCTGCTGTGGAGAAATGCAATGGCAAAAGTGAAGAAGAAAATGGGAGATTTTACTATTTTAACTGCTTGTGCATTTGTAACTATTACCTCTCCTTGCACAAGGGGGTAAAAAAAGTTTGTGTTTGCTATCTTAAAGAATATTACCCTAAAAGCACGTTAAAATCTAGAGCCGATGTCAAGAAACATATCGAAAGCTGTACAAATAAAATTAACCAGTGTCCAAGCTTTAGGTTTGATTTAGTGTCTGACAAATCCCGTATCCATTGCGAAGAAGAAGGAAGCGGCCGTGGGTAGGTGTGGTGGTTCTGACTTTTTGCTGACACCACCGTGCCAGTATCTGCTTTTCTGTGTGTGGGAAAGAAGTTGGCAGAAGTTACGTGGGAAAACAGTGAAGGGAACTGAGGTAGAAATAGCTTCTGAAGGTAGCAAGAGTGTAAGTGAGGGAGGACGAAAGCAGGCGCGCCTGGAACTGGATTTTCTGCGTGATCGAGTGGTGCAGTTGGTTTTGCATCCCTCTCCTCCGTGTGTCAGCACCACCCCTGCCGTATCCTTCTGCCTCAGAATGGAGCGAAAAGATTTGATGTCTGTCTCCTCCCGGATCAACCTGCTGCATCTCGCTGGCACCACTTCTGCTGCTTGGGCCTTTTCGGGAGCTGACGGTTCCTTCCGAGAGGAGTTTCGAGGCGCAGGGAGGGCAGCTCCACGTAGAGGCAGCAGCCTTCCTCGAAAACAGGGGGTTTCTTCCTTGCACTTTGTTGTCTTCAGAAAAGAAAACCAAAAACCTCTCATCTGTATGTGTGGAATGCTTGGTAATAACACCGTGAACAAAATAAGTTTCTGTTCAAGATGATAATGCTGGCAACCAGGTGTTTACTAGTCTCTTACGTGGTTGTTTTATTTTGCATTTGAAGTCTTAGAAAGAAAGAAAAATCACTTTTAACTATTAAAAGGCCAGTAAGTAAGAATGAACAATGTATTATGGTTGTGGTAATTGAATTCTGTTTGGATTTATATATCTTGTGTGATTAGAAAAAAACGTAAATTTTCCTGTTAATTTACATGGGCACCTTAAAAAAAAAAAACAGTGAATTTTTTTCCTGTGTGAGCACTTGTTTTGAGTCTGTGATGTTTTAAATATTATTTTACATTGCAGTGTAATATGGTAATAAAAGTTTCTATTTTTATATTTATTTCCTATATAATACCCAGGTATTTGCAATTTATTAAATATTTAATAGAATCTGGATTGTTTGCTGTGCTTACAGTCCTAGGAAGTGTCTGACGTTGTAATTTGCGGACATGTGCACTCCTGCGTAATAGAGGAAAAATTCTTTGCGTTGTCCTCACTTGAGAGATGTTGTACGAGCATTATGAAACATGACCATCTCCGTATGATGCTGGTAGTCTCAACAAGAGAGCCAAATGACAGGGAACAAGTACAGCGTGCAATTTCCTCGTGCTGTGACTGGTACAGGACAGTGCCTTACGCTCAGGTGTTACCCAAGTAGTTCTTGTTGTGCTCTTACACATATGAAGCTGAAATTTAATATCATTGGAATTTCACATGCTGTGTGAAGAATACTGAATATAATTTCATTGCTAGATAAAGGAAAAAAAGTGTACGATGTAACTCTTTAGTTGTTTGTAGATAAAATGGTGTTTTATTGTATTGCAGGATAGAAGAATGCTTTTGTAAGGAAATCATTGATATATTCAGTCACCTATGAAGATTTGAACCTTGCTTATAAGTAAAATTTCACTATTTTTATAAGAAACTGCAGTATTATTTCTGGCCCGTGCTGTTTAATTTACGATGAATATGTTTTACATACGAGTTTTCTTATTTTAAAAACTCTGGTTTAAGAGGAGAGAGAACATTTTTTTACAAATGCCTGGAGGAATTATTTGAAAGCCTAGCAAGCTGTCTTTCACTCAACTGATGCAAGACTGGAATAGTGTTTTTTTAATTTTTGATGTGCATGTAATGATATTTTCAGTGAGCCAGAGTTGGGCCCCATTGAGACCATTTTGAGACCAATTTGAGACCAATTAACAGCTTTAAATAATAATAATAATTTAGCCAAAAGTCAGATACAGAGGGACCAAAAGTAGATCAGCCAGTAAACCTTTGGAATGGTTAATTACTTTGAATTCATGAATTCTTTTGCTTTCACGAGACTTCCGTTGTTGGAGAACTTTAGTTCAGAAATACCGTGCCTGCCTTAGGATGCTGAAGTGCAAATTCCAGGTACCAGACCTGAGCTGGTTTGTTCTGGTGGAGAGGTTCAGCTTTCTGAAAGCCGTGATGTGCAGGTGTCCAAGCAGCTGTAGACCTTAGCTTTCCACGAGGCTTGCCTGACGTATCGGTGATGTAGGACATCAGCTGAGCAAATTTCTTGAAGTAATTTATCCATGACTCTGGCTAATTTTTGTTTGCTGCAGTTCTGGGAAACCAAGAGGTTTTGCTGTCACAGAGGGAGAGGTGTGGATAGATGAGGCAATTGATGTGGCAAGACCAGTATCCTCTTTTTCAAGAGCTCTCTTAGCACTTCTTTGTCCCATCACAGTCGTGTTTCTCTGGTCCTTCATGCATAAGTAGCAGGACAAAATTTTATCTATACCATGAGAATACTGGAGCCAGTTCTTGATTCTGTTCGTCATTACATGGAAAGAAGGTGCCTGTCTTTTTTATGTAAGTAAAAGAATTGAGATAAGAGAAAGTGAAGGATTTTGATATTCCTGAATCCTCTATCGCTTCTACAAATGGCTGAGTAAATAGGCAAAACCAGCTGTACTTATTTATAGCATCCTTCTTGACCAGGTAGTATTGTTGGTACGTTAAGAAATTGTTTCGAAGTTGTGTACAGCACAACGAAATTTGTGAAGGGTTTTGACATATATCTATAAGAAGAAGCCACGGCTAGAATCCGTGAATTCCCTGTTTCTGCTATGTGGGACTGAACTGAAAATGTAGCTTTCAGAAGCAAAGAACAGACAGCAGTCAGCTAAACCAAAGAGCATCTTTTTGTGCCTTGTGTGATGGAGGGAAACCGCACAGCGTAAGAGACCGCTTCCTTTCTCTGGACTGCACTTCAGGCACCCAGCTGAAGGCAGGGCTTGGGGATGGCTTAAGCTCTGACTCACTGAGCTGGACTGAGCAGGGGTGGAGTTTGGTTGCAACCTGCAGTCATTTTGGGCAGTGAAAGACCTTCACTGGGTCTGCAAAGGCCTCTCTAAGAGAGCGCAGCTACCAAAAAGTAGTAAATCTGTCCGCCACGCTTAGATCTCTTCAATGTTTCAGATGAAGCACCCCTGTACTCTGCCTGGGTCTGGGGCTGAAGCCCACCACCCCAGTGTCAGATGAGAAGTTTCATAGGGCTTGTGGGGCACCGTATGCGAAGCGCTCGGGCTCTGTGGTGGGTGAGAGGTGCCACAAACTGAGGGTCTAGCATCCAGATTTTCTGCAGCACCTTCAATCTTTTAAGAGGCAGGTGATGGCCACTGCCCATTGCAGATCAAAGGAGCAAGCCCAGCTTTAGCTGAGTGACGAGCAGTTGAGGCAGGTGTAGAGAACAGCGTCTGGTATTTCTCAGAGAAGGTGAAGCCTTGCAAAAAGCCCGTCGTCACAATTTCTCAGTTAATGGCGCCTGTTGGAGTGCCTTTGCCTTTTGTTTGCATTATATGAACACTATTATCTCTTTATAACCTCCTGTCATTTAATCTTGCAGTGTAGACTTTAAGAGCCTCTTATGTATTATTATGGATAAAAAAGTTTACCTTGCATTCTTAGTAATTCCTTCCATATCTTAGCACTAGCATTTAGGTTGGAGATAAAAAAACCTGTTAGCATTTTACATTTTAAAATAGTTCTTTTGTAGTTTTGTAAGTGAGGGAGACTGCAAATACAGAATTACTCCTGGTAGTGCACATGCTACAGCTTTGCCTACTCTTTTTTCAAATGTTCCTGCAAACTGGATTCTCCTCTGTTTCCTCAGTTTTTCCGTTTTTCTCACCATGTGTTTCGGTATACATTCTTGCAGCTCTTTTATTCCTTTGACCAGATTACCTTTCACCGCACCGAGTGATCCATTTCTGTACATACAAGTGTATTAAGCTTATTGTATTATTCATAATTTTTTCTTTTTATTTTTCTGGAGACCACTTATGTTTCCGTTTAACTCATTTTCATAAGCTTGCAATAAACCTCTTTCTTTCAGGTTTTCCTTAGGAGATGCTCGCAGACCACTCCATGAAACTGCCATTCTGGTGGAAGACATCGTCCACACGCAGCTGATAAATTTGGTAAGAACAGAACTGATAAAATAGTCTTCACTCCAGAACTCCTTGAAACAGCGTGACATTTCCGTGAGCAAATGACTCATGACAGGTTGTTCTGTTTTTAGAAACAAATAAAACACAGAAGCTGAGGGCAATGTTCTGGCCTCAGTGGTCTGCAGAAGCTACTGTTAGGCTGGCGGATAGAGACCGTGCACTTTGCTTGTGGTTGTGTACTGGGTTGGTGTGATATCTGCCACCCCACCTGGCCTTGGGAACAAAGCCGATGTATTTTTTTGGTAAAAACTTCAAGCTGTTGAAAGGAAAAAAATGGCTAGTCGTCTGAAGACCCCATTGCCAATTTCCTTCTGTTCCAGTATTTGTGTTAGTGCGTTGTTTGCTTAGTATTTATGTTCTCATATTCTTACTATTTGATGTTTTGATTGCGGTCAAAAAATAATGCAGAAATATTGAATATTTTTCTGTATCGAAAGCCAGTGAAAGTGTTGTATAAATGAGGCTATTTCGAGTCTCATCTGTCAGAAGCAGTTCTAAATTTGAACCTCTCCACAGTTTTTAATTAAAGTTCAGAAGCACCTCTGAAGAAAGCAAGGACGGTATTTTACACCATGGCACGAATCTGCCTGCTGACATTTTGTACATAAAGATATATTTTGGTATGTCACCTGTAGCTTGGGAAGCATAACAAATGGGTTTTTTATTATTATAGTGATTCTTCATGTGAAATTACCAGCATGTCTGGGTATGCACATTATATGGAACTAATGTATATTAAAAATACTAGTACATATTATAACTAATATTTGCATATGATGAGTCCCTGGATCAGCTAGAACTTTGAGCTGCAAATTTCCGGGGCTTTTCTCTATAATGAGCCCTTTCAGCAATTAGAAGAGTTCTGAAGTTTCAAGCTAGGTTCTGTCAGTATGTGAACTAGAATGAAAAGCTGTTGTAAACTGACCAAATTCAGAATGGGGCAGACCACGTAGTATAAATATATATGTGTGTATGTATATATATAATATATACTTATATTTTTATATACTTTTATACAATGTTTGTATTTTTTATATATAATATTTGTAATAAAAATACAATATAAATAAACCTCGCCCTGCCCACTGTTTGCCTGCAGGCAGGGGCTTTTCTTCACCTGGGGAGGGAACAGCCTCTGCCCCTTCTCCGCAGGCTGCCCGCTGGTTAAACACGCTGCTCCCGGAATGTATTTGTGATTCTTCTTCTAGCTCTAACTACTACAAAATAACATTTTCTTTTTGTTAACGACCCCCTGCAATTGATGCAAAACCGATGGCTGCGGCTTCGCTCTCCCTTGAGCAGCAAAGTGGTGAAGTGTCTGTGCTTCTCTGTCCCAGCGAGGCTTCGCCGAGCCGAGCTTTCCATCAAAGAGGGCGTTTGAGAGAACCCAACCTGCAGCCATGTGGTCCTTGCACTTAAATCAAAGCCGGGCGCTTACTGGGGGAATGGCCGTGACCCGGGGTTAACCCTGCGCGGGGTGTAGGAGCGTGTACGATTTCCTGACAGAAGGAAGAATGGGAACGGAGCGGCAGATAAACAGCTTTTCTAACCTTTCCCCTCTGAGCCCGAGACAGCACTTTATTTCTGAGGAAGTGAAAGTATCTGGAATAGCTGATTGCTTTGACCTCCGACACTCACACGCCGGAACTCGTAAATCAGAAGCTTTTTACATCCTCCAGACTTCTGATAGGGATTTTTGCACATTTGTCATCCTTTATAACTGCCCATCCTTATTGAGCTGTTAGTATGTAGTTATATTAAATTTTCATTTTAGACGTGGGTGTTCATGTGGGTATATATCCAGTACTAGAAAAAAAGCTATTTTTATAATTGAAGCTGACTGCAGGTTTAAATTTATTACTTACCAGCTGAATTTTGTCATATTACTCATGTTAATGGACTGCACAGTTCTCATTATGTAATTTAATGATTTCTTCTCAAAATTCATGTGCATTTTGCCATCCATAACACATGTATAAGGCTAAACTATAGAAATCACTTTTACGCCTGCAGTAAAACTGGCAAGTTGCATACATCTTTCGTAATAAACATTTGTCAGAGCTCATATTTGTTGGTTAAGTCCGAGTTTGAGCTCCTGAATTAAAATAGAAGTTGCCAGCGTGGTTACCTTTGATTGGTGACTTTTGATACCTCGGAGGTTTATAGCTCCAGCTTCCTATTTGCAAAGTTGATCTGAACTCTATTAAATCGGGGTCTGGTTTGGACGGATTTATATGGTCACTGCTTCAAACCACTTTATACTTCATGAGGTCTGGCTGCTCTAGCAGATGACTGCCCTAACAAGTCAAGTTCTTGAAAAACAGGCTTTTGAAAGTCTGCATCACATTTTATGATCGATTTTTTGTTTTCTTTTGAGCAATATGTAGACTGCTTTACATTAAGTTAAATTCTGCTCTAAGTATACACCAACATATAGAAGGAAATGAGCATATCCGGAGGATGATTCACATCATCCTAAAATCAGTTTCCGAGTTAGATGAGATGCATCTCTTGAGGAATTTATTTCCTCAGCTGACTAATAAGGGGATCCTTTGCCAGCTTGCTGGGGTTTGAATATCTAGGAGATAGGCATCAAAGTTGAGAGATAAATTTCATCCAGTTTGTGTCAGCATGCTAGCATAAGTTTGAAATTTTTCATTTATTGTAATTATAATAAATGGGTTTTATTTGAATATCAAGCAATATAAAACCAAAAAAACCCACGCCCTAGAATGACAGTTCTGTACATTTTTTGTTTAAGCATAATGTATTTGAAAAGCAGAATGAATTTGTTTTAATTTGAAATAATATTCATTGTTGACTGCTAGTATTTGTTTAGTAACTGATCTATACATATTTATAGATGCCTTAATGTTACCCCTAGAACTGTATTTATTTATGTGTGCTAAGACTAGAGGCTGCAATCAAGGCTATATTGTTTTTTATGGTTCAGCACAAGTAGTAGATGTCTGTTGCAACAGGGAATGCAAAAAGATGTTAATCAGAAGGGGACAAGCCTTTAAATTACTTACCATTTGAAGTGGAGTGAGGCCTCTTCTTGTTTGTGTTTTCATCATATCCAATACAGTTTGCCTGTGCACTAAGAAGGTTTTGAAGCACCATCTTCTATAATAATCTAGTAATATCTCTTCAGACCCTTAGAAAGGGAACTCAAAGATCCTGCGTTAGGACAAATCAATATTATTCAGCACTTTGTCAAAAAAAAAAAAAGGCTGTAACTAAGAGAAAAGGAATAAGAATCTTTCTTGGTTATTAAACTACCGTTGAGAGGTTTGGCACCAAAATAGCTGAAGTCTTGCACATACACGGATGTAAAAGCATCTGGAAATTGTTTCATATAATATTTACGAAAGAAGAAAAGTCTTTCCTCACCTTGACCATCTCCATCCAGAATTTTTGTCATACTGTGCTGGCTTATTGGGAAATATAGTATTGTTAGACTAGTGTGAAAACCTGAAGATTTCATAGTATCTTCTCTCGACAGGGCCATGTTTGTGCTGCAGATGTCACGTTCAAAGGCTAATAGACCAGAAGATCGTGATGTACTATTATAATCGAAAAGGCTGTTAAGGAATAACCTTCCTTGTGCTGGGAATGTATCAACCGAGCACTTGTCAGAATGAACTACCAGAGGTTTGTTCTCCGGGCAGGCTGCAGACGGTAGTAGCAGCACTGGCACCTGCTTTCACAGAGTTTTGTTAATCAGTCTAGCGCTAGATCTGCACTTCAGTCCTTTACATTTTTTTTCTCAGATATCAAATGGCTTCTGGGAAGAAATTAGGTTTGTTTTTACAAAGTAAAAGACATTTTAGCAGTAGCACAGAGTGCAGGAAGAGATTATTAAAAATTACAGGTATGTACACCAAAAATAGAGATGTATTCATAATCGGCAGAGCCCCAAAGTCCCCACTTATCGAAGTGACCTTACCTGTCCATGAAAGACTGGCTGCTTGGGAGGAGGCCACAGCACATCGCAGCAGCTTGGACTGCATCCTTTAAATGTTTTATCCGCTAGAATTCTTTGGAAAGTGTGAGAAGTCCTCGCGAAGACTGTTGTGAATGATAGAATTCATGTTGATAGAGTTGCAGTTTACTCCCTGTCAGCTAATGAGCATCTGCTAGAAGATGGACTCTGGTCTCTTCTGCTGATGTGAAATGGTTTAAGGCAAACCCACTCAGCTGGCTTTTTTAGAATACAGTGGTGTCAACTTAAAGGAACTTCAGTTGCCCAGAATCACATTGTATGTGATAGCTGTTGGGATTTTTTTGATCACTTCCTTTTATCTTCCTATGGAAGAGTTTAATTCCATACAACTTGTGCTGATACCTAATACTTCTTAACATTCCACTCTTGCTTCCTTTTAGGAGCATAATCTGGGTCTCCTGTTACATATGTGCATATATGAACACTCTGCGCATACACATAGATAATTTTATTTTTTTCTTGTTTGTTACTATTGGAAACTAATTTTCACTGACACAGATAATATAGTTACTTCAGGATCAGTCCTTTGGTCTCAACTAAAGTGCAGAACACAGTTCAGCAGCTGGATAATCTGTACTGGAATAAGTAGATTATTTTAAATTGTGGCAGTAATTCACAGGTAGAAGACTTACAGTGAGATGCAGAGATTCAGCAGTATGTCAAGTCTTGAGTAAGTCCATAGTAAATGTATGCTGTGGAGTAAATTGCTTTTCATAGTAGGGACTTAAATAAAGATTGAGTAGTCATTTGCCACAACCACGAAAAGGAATGGTGAAAATACAGGGACAAGCAGAAGGATAAGTCTACTAATATGAAATGCTAAGTACTAAATCATGGTCAGCGTGAATTTTGTATTTTCAAAGGGCTGTCCATTTTCTGGATCAATATGATGTGATTTCTTCACTTCCTAGCTGTATTCCTGCAGTGGTTCACCATTTTATTGCAGTTTAAAATGAATGGAGAA